TATTACATCCAACCCTCAACTTGCCCTGTGACTATGCGACCGAGATATATTTTATTAGTAGGAGATAAAGACAAACTTGCTAAGACCATGGAATTGGACTGTTGGGGGAGGGCTGACCAGATTCATGAATTCTAACCCTATATGATGTTAAAATAATTGGTGGATCATGCTTGCAGCTGTTCACCAACTTGGATGTGATTTAATCAAGGATTTTGGTCAACATGAATATTAATATTACCAATGGTGATGAGAACTTGATCAAAATTTCAGCTCATGTCAATTTGGGAGCAATGGTTTTCAAAGTCACATTAATGTTAACATCTTCTAATAAAAGCAGTTCAGATGGGTAGACTTTATTCATTCCATGAACTGGGCCCTTTTCACTTTTGGTGTACTAATTTGAGGAACTGGATGTTTTGGTGAACTTCATTCATGCAATGGACTGTGGTCTCTCACTTTTGGTGCCAATAATCTCAGGAGGGAAATGAAAAGAGAAAACAGGATCTTTCATTGAGGCTTGGGCCTATTGGGTTCTGTTTCAGTGTCCCAACAAAAAAGACCCATGGTCAAGTCAAGTGATATTGGGCTGATTGATCCTCTTGAGTTTTGACCAACCTCTTTTCTTGTGGGTGTTCTCAGACTCTCATTGACTGAGTGAGGGATGACAATTTATCCGGCACAAAATATCATGGCCCAACTTTGGGACCCAAATCAAGGTACAAAATGGATAGCACATTCCCCACATCACATGCTCCTTGACAACTTCATTTTCTATTCAACAATACTCTTATTCCGGCCAAAAAAGAAAAAAAAAAAAAATCAACAATACTCTTACAAGTGATATAAATACAACCAAATATTGAAGTATTAAGAATGAGATGACCTTAATGAAATGCAAGCTTTGAGTCCCTCCATTGCCATTTCGATGCAAAAAATTTCCAGAGATAATGCTCACAACCAATATGTGGAGATTTGCCTTGTATCTGTGAACAAAACAATTTGCAATACCCGTGAGACTGATTGAGCAAAAGCTCCAGCTACCCATCCTATACATACATACATACATATATATATATATATATATATATATATATAAATACAACCAACTATCAAACCTTCCTAGTTCCTACATCCTACATTATTCCTGTAGCCGATCCACTTAATGCAACCCAGCTCATGTCCTTTCTTAATTCTTGTTTGGACACAGACAGAATGTAGTATGCAGAAGTAGAAACTCTGTCCCTACACACTAATAATATATCTTACTCTCCTCTTATTATTGTCTAAAATTGACAACAATGTTGTTGACAAGTTAGCATTCAAGCTGGACCAACTCTAATCATCACCCTTCTGCTCTCCACTGTGCTCTGAATCCTTTCTCTGATATGCCTTAGATTATCAAGAACTTCCACAACATTCTTGTTAACCATCTTAATCTCCGGGCTAGGATTTTTCTCAGGTGGAGTTACCGGAACTAATGCCAATGAATCATCAACATGGTCATCATATATATGATCCTTCGTCCGAATCACCTCTGTTGAGGACCTTAAGCTTGAATCACTGAAAAAAATGGTGAAATTTAAGTGTAATAAGTACAATGTCAACGGTGAATCAGTGGAAAATTTTGAAAGGTGTATACCTGTTATCATCAGTCTTTGGATCTTCATTGCTTAAAATTTCTTTGGGATTTTCATGGGAAAGATCTTTGGTATCAGATTCAGATCGAGAATGAGATTCTGCATTCTCTTCATTGGAAGAACATTCATGGGTTTGGGCAGATTTAGTTGTTTCTGATGCATTTTCCACTGGTTTTTCTGGGGGATTGGATCCAGATTCTTCCACAGATGTTTGGCAGGAAAATGCAGATGAACTTGACTGCTGTGAGTCTTCCAAAACAGGCAATATTTTTAAGGACTCAAGCTTCTTCTTCAAAAATTTCAGTCTTTTCTCAGCCCTGTTCCTTAATTTGGTCTCTTCTCTGAGTCTGTTCTTTAGCTCTACCAACTGCATTTTACCAAGAATAAGAGACAGAATCAAAACAAAAATTCCAGATCCATCTCTCTAGCAGTTTGAGAATGTCTGAGAAAACAAAAAGAACCCCAAAATGCAAATGTGATTTTCAGTTCTTTTTCCTGGGAAACAAAGAAGAAAGTCTAAACACATGAAATTGAACCTTACTGCCCATGAACTCTGCCTCTTCTTTTGCAACCCTTGAAGCTTGTCTCTCTGCAAGGAGCCTTCCTCTCAGGCACTCCACCGTCCTTAATCCATTATCTCCTTCCATCTTAACTTCACTGAGTTGGAAAAAAGAAAAAAAGGGGGAGAACCCAAATCACATTGTGAAGAAAATGGAGAAAGAAACAGAAAAGAGGAAGTAAAGAACCCAAACCCACCTCCATCTTCCATCTTCTTTCTTGCTAACAGCCATGTTTTTGTTCTTTGAACTGCCTTGGGGAGGACAATCTGTGGTTTTGCTAGGACAAAGAAACAATTATCACTAACTAGCGTTGGGAAATCCAAGGTCAGGACATTTATATCCATCTCCCAGAAAATTTCCGTTTTTTGTGGTTATTCACTCTTTCATCATCCGCCACATTTTTTTATTCTCTTTTTCTACCATTTCATTTAGAATTGGAAATTTACCATTACATTTTACTATTTTCTCAACTATTTACCTTGTTTATATTTAATTATCTTAATTAAAATTTAATTAGATAATTTTATATAATAAATAAATAATAA